TACGCCCGCCTCTCATCGATGGCGAAGGGGGAGCCATACCACCAGGAGGACAGACCCCAGATCCTCGCGCTGCTGCTGGTAGTGTCGCCTCCCAGGAGGAGGAGGGAGGAGGAGGAGGAGGAGGAGGAGGAGGAGGAGGAGGAGGAGGAGGAGGAGGAGGAAAAGGAGGAGGAGGAGGAGGAGGAGGAGGAGGAGGAGGAGGAGGAGGAGGAGGAGGAGGAGGAGGAGGAGAGGAGGAGGAGGGGGAGGGGGAGGGGGAGGGGGAGGAGGAGGAGGAGGAGGAGGAGGAGGAGGAGGAGGAGGAGGAGGAGGAGGAGGAGGAGAGGAGGAGGAGGAGGAGGAGGAGGAGGAGGAGGAGGAGGAGGAGGAGGAGGAGGAGGACGACGACGACGACGAACACGAGGACGAGGACGAGGACGAGGACGAGGACGAGGACGAAGAGGGGGAGGAGGGGGAGGAGGAAAAGGACGGGGACAATGATGAGGAGGAGGAGGAGGAAGAACAGGAGGAGGGGGAGGACCAGTGTAAACCCAATAATCATCAACGATGTTGTAATCAACCCTCCCTCCAAGCTCCCTCTGCGTAGGCCCCTACAACGGTTCGTTTCCATTGAAGGAAGTGCCCCTTCGGAAGACAACTGGTTGAATTCCCTGAAGCATGCCAAAACATTGTTCTCGGGAGCCCAACGCTACGGGTCAACCTGTTTGTTGCGTCTTGAGAATCCTGAACCGTGCCAGGACTTCAACACAACGAATCGGCATAACTGTTGCGCCCGCGCAGTCCAGAATCCTTTCAAAACACCGTTTCTGGCACGTGGATGATGGGAATCCATGAAAGTCTTGCGAATGTTTAAAACGAGTGTGTGCCGCGTTGGGGCGAGAGCGACATTTCGAAAGGACCGCCCTCAATCCGTGAAGCTCGTGCAAAGCTTTAAAACGAAAGTACGCCGTGCTAGGGCGAGAGCCACCTTTTGAAAAACGGCACGCCCTCAATCCGTGACATTTTTGCACATGTTATAAACGAATGTACGCCGAAACAAATACGAGAGCCACATTTTGAAAAAGACCCGCCGTCAGTCCGTGTAACTCTTCCACATCTGTTTAAACAAATGTGCGCCGCGCTACGGCGAGAGCCACATGTTGAAAACGACCCGCCGTCCATGTGTGAAACTGTTGTCAGTTTGGAAGCTGCAGAATCATAGATGGTGAGGAACTCTCAGGAGAAACGCTCGGCCCGCCCTAAAAACTGGCCTCGTGGTGCGACAGGGAGACTTTAAGGAATGGACGGGAAGGAGGAGGAGCAGGCGGAGGAGGAGGAGGAGGGGGATGAGGAGGCTCACAACTCTGGGTTCGAAGATGCCGCGCGAAAGCTGGTCTGGCCAGTTCCGCCTGAGACATCCTCGCAACACTGCGCGCTGGCCACGTCCCTGGTTGGGAACAGTTTTCTCGCCCCGACGCCAGCCACATTCTTTATTGAGTACGTATGGTGTTGCCGCTCGAGTGCTAGCAACATCCGTGATTGGGAATTGTGCTCTCGCCCGAGCTCTGGCTGCATCCCCGTCTGGATTTGTTGATGTCGTTTTCGCGCTGGCCACACTCCTCATCATTAGGCGTGGTGCTCTCGCCTCAGCTCCGGCCACGTCCCTTGGTGGGTATTGTGCTGCCGCTCGAGCGCCAGCCACAATCACATGCTGAGACGCTTGTGGTATCCATTTTGGGAAGGTTGTCTGGACTGTTCGGGGGGGGATCCTGGGATTTTTCTTGGATCCGTTTTTCTCACTGAACATCGTACGCTCAGCACTCCGCGTGGAGCAGGATGAGGAGGGAAGAGGTGGAGAACAGACGCTCCGATCCAGGCAGATTGAAGTCCGATCTACGTCAACAGAGGAGGAGGAGGAGGAGGAGGAGGAGGAGGAGGAGGAGGAGGAGGAGGAGGAAGAGGAAGAGGAGCCGGAGGAGGACAGGGAGGAGGAGGATTGGGCGTTGCGTAATGGAGGGGTCATAAATGGGGGGGTGGCGAGCGCGGTCCGAAAAGGTACCCAAACGGTACCCAAACGAGCCCCCTGGGGGTCCGGAGGGGCCCGAAAGGGGCACGAAAGGGGACCTTTTCTGACCCCCCCATTTGTGACCCCCCCATTAAGCCACGCCCAAGAGGAGGAGGAGGAGGAGGAGGAGGGAGGAAGAAGAAGAGGAACCAGAGGAGGATGAGGAGGAGGAGGAGGAGGAAGAGGAGAAGAGGCAGGAGGAAGAGGAGGAAGAGGAGGAAGAGGAGGAAGAGGAGGGGGGGGGGGGGAGGAATCGAAGGCGAGGGGAGGAGGAGGGGGGAGGAGGGGGGAGGAGGGGGAAGAGGACGCGGAGGAGCTCCTCAGAGGCTGTCGCAGCTCTTCCACTGGCCAGCGCGGCAGGGCCAGGCGCCGCTGGAACCCGCCAGCGGCCGCGGCGGCGGCTCCGGGGCGGCTCCGTTCCTGGGCCTGCTGCCACGGCGGCTTGGGCTTCGATCGGAAGCACGGCCCATCCCGTCACCGTGGAGCAAACGGGTCCTGAGGGAAGTTGCTGTCCTCCTCGCTCGCTCCTTCTTTCTCCATCCTTTCCTCCTCCTCCTCCTCCCTCTAGTCGGCGTTCCAGAGCGAGCGACTGAGGGAACGACTCGCCCCAAGTGCGCGAGAGCGCACCATGCTGCACATAAGATGCGGGAACTCCCCCATGAGGGGTAGGGGGGCTGCTAGCGCTTCTCTCGCGTTTGCTACCTTTGCTGCTGATCATGAGAATCCTTGACTACAACCTTTATGCGGCCAGCACACCAGAAAAGGCTAGAGGATATCAGCAGCGAGCTGCGTCACCGGGACATCATACTACTGAGCGGCACACACAAGCAGGCGGGAGTGCCAAATCAAAGTCGGACATTAAGTATGGGTTTCGGTCCACCACTATTGGTCAACAACAAAATCCCTAAGATGGCGTTCGGGCGAAGATACTTACTTGCGAGCAGCATCCAGGGGAGAGCCTCGGGGGTCAGATTTTGCTTGGAAGTTGGGGATTTGGCCCTATGTGGAATATGTCTGGCACCCACACATTACACAATGCACGAAATCATAGCGAACGGAGTGAATGGATGGGTGGAGGACCAGGACCAGTGCGGCAAAGTAGGAGTAAGAACGGCGCCGGTTATTAGATGGGACCTCAACTCGCAATTTGGATTACATGGAAAGCCCGACGGCATGCTTGTGTCGAATATGAACGACAGCGGGACCGCGGGGCCCTACGGGGGCAGTTCTGCGCGCAGAGGTCTTATTGCGACGACACACTGGGGTTGCGGACCGACCTACCACAGCCCGGCTGGTGACCCGATCGAGATCGATCATATTGCCATCCCCACTTCGGCCCTGGGGGCGGCGGAAAGATTCACGACATTAAGATGCCAGGGGCAGAGGCTACAGCTGATAACATGTGTGTGGGGGGGGAGGGTAAAATATCACCTTCCCGTAGGTTTGGCCCTCCCCACGATGATGTCTACCGGGTTCCGCCCCCCTCCGACCAGACCCGCAAAGCCCGACCTCGCGGCGTTGATGAGGCGCTTGCGGGAAGGCGATCGGCGAGGGGGCCTCCTCGGCGAGGGGGCCTATCATGGGATAGTCCCACGACTCCTCACTCACTGCATCCATGGACGACGCGACGAAAACGACGACGAACACCCAGAACAGGAAGACGGCACATATGATGGCTACCCTCAACAGAAAGACAGAGTCTCGTGGCAGGATTATCGAGAGGAAGGGATGGGCCCTGAATCCTGGGAAGACGAACCACTTACTCGAATTACCTGGTGGGACAGGGGCGCATTACCGCGACCAGTGGACTGCGCGCGAGCAAGGAACTATTGGCACGGCCTGAAGGGAAATTCGAATACTGGGCCCCTACCTATTGTCTGGCCAGCGACTGGCTGGGGAAACTGGGTGGAGGGGGGAGGCGATAAGAGCGGCATGCAGGTAGCGCGGGAGTTTTTGGGGGCGCGACGCACCCGGCAATAGTGAGAGCTTGGTTTATCTTGTTATAATATATATGTATATATATAAGAAACAGAAGCGGCCCTCAGCGGCCTCGCTAATTTGGTTCTCCGCCTCGCTTGATAAAAGCTTTGGACGTTGCGATGGGCAGACGATTCAGAAAAAACAGCACAGGGAGACATGAGTTGGGCGCGCGAGGACGGCAGCTCGATATGTAACAGCACGTTGCAAGTATTTGCGCATTGGAGACTCGGCAGACGCGCCCTCGCACTGCGAGTCCGCCGCCCAGCGCGGCGCCATCAATGGGCCCGCTTCCCAGCGGACCGCGGGGGAGTCTTGGCCGCCGCCCCAGGGGGCTCGAGACTCGGGCGGGGAGAGGGGGGGCGCCCCGACGCTGGGCAGAGAACCCGGCATTCAACGGATCTACCCCTCGGGCAACGCAGATGATGGAAGATCTGGACACGCTTGCAAGGGTATGCGCCGAAATGGGCCCTGGCGCAATCAGAGAAGGTCGGATCTTGATGCGCCTGCCCCAGGGGCCGGCGACTGGAAGCAGCGGGCGCAGGCGGGCGCGAACGCGCCGAGGAAGTCGATGAGAAGGAAAAGATTGGCAGGCCATGCTGTCGCGACTGGTCAGGGGCCGACACAAAGGGGGCATCGAGCATTTGTGGGCAGCGATTCTCTACAGCAGCGGCGCTATTAATTAGCGCGCGGGAGAGAGATGCGCTGAATCAAGCCTTCCATGGCCTCCATAGTCATAACGAACCAGTGCCCGTGATGCCTGAGTATTTTTGCCACGAGAAGGATAGTTGTGGACCGCGCCGCCAGAGCGGCAGATGGGCGTGGGATATGCCGCGGCGGGCTCAGTCGACGGGCGCGCGAAAAATATGCTTCGACAGCTGCGGAGCTACATCGCAAGATGTGCGACCGCGAGACATAATCTCTTCTAGGCTTCTAACGCCGCGCCCGCCTATGGGGGAGCTCCGCGCCCCGTGGGCAGATGCAGAAGACGTCGCCGGAGCAGCTCTCCCCATCTTGGCTCGCGGCAGAAAGAGGCGGAGACGGGCGCGGCCCCATGGGCCCCCGGAAGATCCGCAAAGGCAATGGGGGGGGAGGCGCCAGCTCCGTGGACGTCGCGATGGAGGACGGGGCGGGTGCCAGCGGGTCACGCGCGGCAGCGCTGGCCTCGGTCGCGCCGGGGGGGGGGGGCCGCCGCGCCAAGGTCGGGCGACAGGGGCCGCGACGACCGATTGGTCTCGCCCGGGCCACCAGCAGCTGCAAAGGCTGGCCCCCGAGGGCGGCGCAAGACATGGGGGGGCGAAGCAGATCGCGACAGGCTTCCGGTCGATGCCCCCCCAGATCACGGCGGCGCAGGCGGCGCCGGGCAGCGCGGAGAACGACGGGGTCCAGGTCAGAGCGCAAGGAAGAGGGCGCGAGTTGGGCCCCCCGCGCATCCGCGCCTCCATCGCGCTCCCGCAAGCGCTGATCAATATGGCGCAAACATTGGCGGCGAAGGAGGGGTCCAGGCCGGGCGCGGATTGGGGCTGGGCGCAGACAATCATTATGGAGTGGCTCAGGCAGGTCCAGCCTGCCCACCGGCAGGTCGCGGGCCTCGAGACCATCGCGATCCCGCGCCCAGGAAGCGCACGTGCCGAGGAAATTGGATGACTTGCTGGTCGTAAAGCATGAAACGGGCCGGAAAGCCAACGCAATTTTCGCGGCGAGCCAGCGCCTTCAGTTTCGCCTGGTCGGGCGGACAAGGCGGCGGACGCGGGCGAAGAGGCGTCGACGAGGCAAGAAGGGTCCAGACCAGGTCGCTTCAAGGCGGCCATCGGTAGAAGTTCAGCGGGGGGAAGCCGAAGTCAGCGGGTCCGAAGACGGAGCTCGGTCGGGGTCAGAAATATGCATCATTCACTGGTTGTTTGGGTTTTCGGTCGCAGACGCTTAATTGAGTTTTACACGGATCGCTCTGCGTTTCGCTGCCCGCTGCCTCCTTGGAGCGCGTGAGCCAAGCGAGCGCGGCCGTCGCGAGATGCTGCTGGGCCCCTCGAGAACGACGCGCGCGCTGCAGATGCATTTTCATTGACTGATGGAAAGCGACGCGACGCGCGATGCAACGGCCTCTCGGTTGGTTCGAGCGGCCCCCAGACAGACAATGAGGCCGCATGTGCTTGTATATCCGCGGCTTGATCCCGTTGAATCAGCGCGTATTTCAAGGCTGCCCGGCAATGTCGGCGGGAATCTTCATGCCCAAGCGAATATGTGCACAGTTTAATCTCCGCAGGCCTCAGGCGCAGGACTGCGCGCGCCGCGCCGCAGATCGGTGCGCGCGCTCAAGCGAGGACGCGGCCCTGCGTCGATCGGCCCGCCGCCTCAGGGCGCGCGCGGCATCCGCCCCTGGAACCCCCGCCAGGCCGGATCGGTGAAATGAAAGATTTCGTTGTTTTGGGTGGGCCAAAACCGCAGAATCTTTGATTTCACCGGTCGCGGGTCTGGGTTGCGTCCTTGTCCGGGGCGGATGCGAGTGGTTCCTTGCGCGTTTCTGCGGGGGGCTCGCTCTTGGGCGCATCGGGCGTCTCCCGGGGCCTGTCGCGCTCATCCTCGGGTTCCCCTACTGGCTCTCCCGAGGGCCCCGTGGAGCTAGTGGACCCACTTGCGTCGATGAGGAAGCTCGTGGAGACGTCTCGGCGACGGATTGGGGATCTGGGTTTCGCCGGACGCCCAGGGTTGTTTCTCGGCGCGTTTAGGCCGACGTGGAGCCCCCCGCAATTCCTGGCCGCCCAGAGAGCGCCATTGGCGCCTGAAGGATTTCCAGCAGGCGGCGGGTCATGGCGTCCAATTGTCGTGCGACGCCGTGCTGGGCGCTCCTTCAAATCGCAAGCTCGGTCGATTCGCACAGTTGGCGCCGCGTCGCGCAGATGTCGGCCTCATCGCGATCAGCGATCACGCGGCCATGAGGGCCAGTAAATGAAAATCTACAGGCCGACCAGGGAAAGATAATCATGTCTCGCCCACTCGGGAGGGCGGCGGGGCGGCGGCCACGGCAGCCCCAGAAGACGAGGGGCCGCCAGCCCGAGGAACAAGAAGCAGACCGCGGAGGCACTAGTTAGTCACTAGGCAGTAGCACGCGGCATAGACCAGAGAGAGCGTCATCGCGGGCCCCGGGGCCAGCTGCTTCAGCGGCCCTGCCGAGGCAGCCCCAGACAGACGACCCCCCCCAGAGGCGCCGCCCAGGGATCTGACGAGGAGGGGGCGCGGCTGAAATAATAAGTCAAGACTCCGATCAGCTGGACAAGCTACGTGCGCTCAGCAGAAGCAGCAGCAGAAGCAAGCAACTGCGTGACTTCGCGATGGTATCCAGAGAGAGAGGCGACGACAACATCTGGCGCGCGAAACAACATGTAACCGGAATCCGCCCCAGAAAAGCCGCCGCGTATATGGTACCACGCGATTATGATTAGTTTTTCGGCGTTACAGGCACCGCGCCGCGCGGAAATTGCGCGACGCCGCGGTTGCGAAGCGACCTGTGGGGGCAGAGATTTGAGCCGCCAGCGACGCAGCTGCTTGCGCAAATGCTGTTCGGCTCGCCGCAGCTCCTCGAAACACGCCGCCATGCGACCCGCGCGGCTCGGGCAGGGCAGCGCCCCCCCCCCCCCCCCCCCCCCCCCCCCCCCCCCTGAGAGAGCAAGAGCAAGGGCAAGGGTAGGAGGAGTGGCAGGATATCGAGAAGGGCGTCTACGTCTGGGCCCGCGCCGAAGCCGCCCCCGCCGCCTCCTCCGAGGTCCCCGCCGAGGGCTGCGGCCCCAGGCGCGGGCAAATGAGCGCGCGCGGGATCGACGGGGAGACGCTTCGCGAACACTTGCTCCTCGATGGCCCGCCGCCGCCCCCGCCGAGCGCAGGCGAGGTCGCGCAAAAAAGCATCCAACGCTGCGAAAGGATGGCGAACAACGCGGGCACGATAATAAACGCGATGACGGCGCTGACCAGGCCGCTGGCGCAGGTAATTCAACTGCGGCGAAACAAGCTCGGGGGCGTGGCCATGACTAGCGCGCATAGAGCACAGCCTACAGCGCGGGCGCCTGCAACTCCAGCGGAATCACGGACGCTCACAGGGTTTGGTTCTCCATGGTGGAGTCGGCGAGGGCCCGGATCTTGTGGGCGGAGGAGATGGAGAGCCCCTGCTCGGCGCCGCGGGCGCGGCCGCCCCCTCGAGCGAGCTGGCGGGGGCCCTGGCGGGCGACGCCGTTGCAGGAGTCCGACTGGGGAGCGCGGCGGCAGAGACACTTCGACCTTTGGCGGCCGGCGGCGAGGGAGGAAAGACGACGACGGCACTTCTGGGAGCCCGAAGCGGACCCCGGACCCCAAAGGCGCGTCAAGCGACCCTTCAAAGACCTCGCCAGTCAAACAAAATGACCCGCACAAGTAAGAAAGACAACGACCTGGAGACAATACGAAGCACTACCGCAACGACCGGCATGGTTGCGACGGCGGGGAAGAGGGATGGGCATCTACGACATAGGTCCTGGGATTCCGACGGGCCACTGCGCGGGGCGCGCGCAGTTGCTCTGGGCCCAGGCGAAGCGCAGTGCAGCACCAAGCGGCGCCCGCAGCGGACAACGCACAGCATGGAGCGCGTCGACCAGATCAGGTGCAACACCGACAAGATCAGGGGGGGGGGCCGGCGCGCGCTGGAGAGCGCTGAGATGAACGTCGGGAAGGCGGGGGCAGTCTTGGCTTCCATATCGACCGATGTCGGCACATGGTTGCTGAAGGTGATGGCTCGCAAGTGCAGGCTCATACCCAGCCTGGGCAGGTGCGACCGACGGGGAGAAGCTGGCGAAGGAGGAGGATCTGATGTACCCGAGTGACCAGCTGAGCAGCGCCAGCACGCGCATCGAAAGGCCCCCGCGCGCGAAGGGACCGCCTTCGGCGAGACCAGCGGGCGGAGGCGACGAGCCGCCGAGCAGCGAGACGCGCGAAGGCGCGCAATGCGACGAGTCGGCGTCGAGTCGCAAACTGAAGAGCGACGAGAGCGGGCAGAAGGTGACCGCGCAGCTACCGCGGCGGGATGCCGATGACAAGCTGACGTGGACCCCGCGCAGATGGGATATTCAGCGCCCCGAGCTGTGGATCGACTGCGACGAGATTCAAAAGGAACGAGGTTTCGCCGAGCGCGGAGGCCGCGGAAGCGCCGGCTGCCGCGGCGGAGCAGGATGTAGGGGAGATGATCAAGGAGCTCCAGGACAAGATCGAGGAGCACAAGCTGGAGCTGGAGAAAGAAGGCATCGAACTGCTCGCCGCGAGAAGCCTTCAGCCCCCAGAGCGCCCGCCGAGCCCCAAGACGAGGTCCGAAGTCTTCTGCTTAAGGATGAGGCTGTACCGATACGGCGACAGTACACTCTATCAGGGGAAAATAAAGTGACTTACGGATGCGGGGACTACAGTTGGTCATTTGCGAAGACACGAAATGGGCCTCTGAGGTAACGCAACTCCCAGGGAGAGAAGTGAAACGATAAAATAGTTTGTGTTTTTTTCTCCGACAGAGGAGTCTCCCGAATTAGACGGATCATGCTGTGCGTCGATGGGTCTCGGTTTATTGGCCCGCCGCAGTCTTTGCTGCTCGTTGGCCTGGGCCTGCTGCGTCTGCTGGCCGCTCGGGGGCTGCCTTTCTCCCTCGTGGTCGTCGTCGTGCTTGGGTTGGGCGTCTGGTCCCTGGGTTCCCGCCTGTCGCGCGCGTGCGCGCGGCGCGAGGGCGCGCGCGCGTGGGCGCGCGTTCTTTCTCTCTCCAGCTGCGGGGTCTCTCGAGGAGCGGGGCGCCCAGGCAACCGGGTGCAGCTGCTGCTGGGCCGGGGGCCGCCCCCCCCCCTCTACCCCCGACTCCTCCTCTCACAAGTTTGTATTTCCCATGGGGGTAGCGACGGTGACCGCCCCTCCAGAGGGGGATGCTCGCCCCAGCGGGACCGGCGTTCCCCTTCCTTCCAGTCTACGAAGGTTTCAGATCTACGAAGCCCTCCCGCGGCGGGGCACGCCTGCCCCACTGCTTCTGCGCGGGCCAGGCGGCGCCCCAGGCGGTCTGGGGGGGGCAGGTGCCCCCCGCCCCTCTTCCACAATTCTCGCTGGGGCAGGTTGCCAGGTCCATTAGAGAGTCTGCAGACGCCCCCGATGCGCCTCTGCCTCTTGCCTCCTCCCTCTCCTCCTCCTCCTCCTCCTCGTGTTTATCCTGTTCCTCCTCCTCCCTCTCCTCCTCCTCCTCCTCCTCCTTATCCTCTTCCTCCTGTTCCTCCTCCACCTCCTCCTCCTCCTCCTCCTCTTCTTCCTTCTCCTCGCCATCCTGCGGGCCCTGTGGCTTGCCGCTGTTTTCGGCCTCCCGGGGCCCGCCGCGGCCTGGGGAAAAGCCCCGGCATGTCCAGGGCCAGCGCCCTTGAGGACGCAGCAGCTGCAGACCAAATCCTCGGCGGGCGAAGAAGGGCGTGAAATGCATTGGGGGGCGTTGGCCCAAGCAATCCTCAATAAGGAGCGAGGCCCCTTGTCTTCCATAAGCTTATCTTCGATTTCCCATCGAAAACCTAGGGAGGACCGGGGCTAACTGCAAAACAATTCAGGACCCTTCCCAAACGAAAAAAGGTATTTGTTGTCAGCGCCCCGACTGTAAGCTGTCTCGCGACGGGGGCGTGACTTTCCTGGGGCGGCCAGGAACGTCATGCCCCCATTGGCACCGCAGGGGTATCCATGCCCCAGCCGCTCTGGAGCGGGTGCCCCCGGTGGTGGAACATCCGGGCACAACTAAGAGCGGCAACCACAATTGAAGGGATTTTTCTGCAGGGCCTCTCGGGGGAGAGCCCGCCGACCTCGACATGGGCAATTTGGTTGTGGTTGTGGTCGACTTGGCCGTCCTGGAACGCCACATCCACCACGACCAGCACAAATATGGTTTCGGTGTTACGACGATTGCGGGCATGCGCACGACATCCACCAAGGCGTGTCCTCGATGTGGTCATAGTCGCTTGCTGCCCCTACATATCAGTTCTTGTTATACCAGTCTTAGCCCGCTAACACATAGGCCTCCCAGATAGGGTCAGGGCAAATGTGCGAGCCCGTTTTTACCCGCGCCAACATCGCCGATGCAGTGCTGGCGTCGCCGATGCATTGCCGATGCGCTGGGGATGTGGTGCGATCTTCCGACCCCATCCGGAAGGCCTCTGTAGCACCCGACCGCGCGACAGTGGAACCATTGATGGACGCGCGTCTGGTGGATGCGTATTCTGGGCGTTCTGGCGGCCGGTCGGCGCCCCGGGGGGCCTCGTGCGGGAGCCTCGCGAAGGGGGGTGTCGTTTCTGCTGGCGCGCCGTCGTGCTGGGGCCTCCATGGAGATGTCCGGGAAGCGTCTTCGGCGGAGGCCTCGCTGTGGGTGCCCCGCTGCCCTTGCTGGTGGCCCTTGCGGCGTCACGGGCCTTGCCGTCGACGATCGAAGGGCTTGGCATCTCTCCCTCGGCGGAGGGCAGCGGAGGGGCGGTTGCCGTCGACGTTGGAAGGGCTTGGCATTCCCTCGGCGGAGGGCAGCGGAGGGGCGGTTGCCGTCGACGATGGAAGGGCTTGGCATCTCTCCCTCGGCGGAGGGCAGCGGAGGGGCGGCAGACGCCCGCGGAGTCACATGACGAGGGCGGCTCCGCCGGCGGATGCCGGCGGATGGCCGGCGGAAGTTTGCGGGAGTAAAAATGTCGGTTACCGCAGAGATGACAAGGTTTGTGGGTTGGGTCTTCGGAGTCTGGCATCTATGTTCGCAGTTGCGCTTGCCATTATGGGGCAGTGCTTGATTATTGGGCACTGAAATATAACATTGACTTGTCGAGTAGTTATCCCAGCCAGCCCATCCAGAAACGATGCCCTGGCCAGTTGGCTTTGATCCGGGAAGCGACTGAACTTACGGCGGCGGCATTGGACAAGAAATGTCTTCCTGGGGCCCAGACCCTGGCGCATTTCTTATGTTTTGAAGGCGAGGTGGGTGGCCCACGTTTGGCCGCCCATCCGTCGCGAGACCCTGAGTTCCTTATCTCAGAGCGTGAATTACCTACCCCGCTTTCGCTTCCAGGCAAAACCAGGTCATACCACGCGCCTCCGCGTCAAGCGGCCTGACCAGTGCAGGCCGTAGCTTGGCATCGCCTGGTATCTCTTGGAAGCGAGGGTGGTCAAAAGCGAGGTAGGTTTGTTTGCCCCCTATTATCTCGGGCTGAACGAAAAGGGGGGATTGGGAAAGGGGGGGTTACGAAATCTGCTGCATGCAGCTGGTTTCGGCCCCGCCGCCAGGCCCATTCCTCGATACATGGGCGCCTCCCGGCGCCGGGAGGCGCCGGGAAAATCAGCTACGTGAGCAGATTCTCAACCCCCCCCTTTGCTATCCCCCCCGTTCGCCCGGCCCGATTATCGAAGGCACCCTTATTTAAAACCTCCACCGTACAGCGGTAGCGAGTAGGGAGCGCAGTCATCGCAGCGCAGTTTGGGGTCGGCCTCGGCAGACCCAGGAGAGATTCAACAGCGACGGCCTTCGGGGTCGGGGCGCGTCGCTCCAGGAACTCTTTGAGGTCTCGTGGGGACCATTCGAGTTATGATGCTCCAACCTACTTTAGCCTTGATCGCCGAAAAGAATTTCGAGCGCCCAAACAAGTACCGAAACTCAAGGGTTTTCACGTGTCTGGCCCTGGGAGACACTCGCCTGTCACTGCTTCGACACTGCTTCGACACTCTTTTGACGCTTTTCCGGGTGCTCGGTATTAGTTCTGGGATGTGGTCTTCAGGTAGGATGGGAACAACATAACATTCGAGGCCTCGGGAGCTCCCTGTGTGCCTACACGTTGTTCGCCTCGAATTATTCGGAAGGTCTTTCAGTTTTTGGGGTCCAAAAGCCTTTCGTTTCTGACTGTTCTGCCCTTGGCCTCTTCCTGGCCACTAGGGGTCCAGGAACAATTCGAAACGAGCACAATTTGAAACGAGCACGATTCGAAATGAACGACGTGTATCCAGGGCTTCGGGGGGGCCTTCTCGGGACCATCTTGGCGGCGACCGACCCAGGAAGGGGGTAGCTGGTCCTGGGCGCGCCCGAGTTCCTCTCAGCTCATCTCTGCGAAGAGTTCTACTCAGGAGGGGAACAAAACCACACAGACACAATGAATCGTCGATTCCCTAGAAAATATGGGAAAACATGGGAAGTGGGGGGGAAGACAGAAACCCAGAAACTACGGGAAAATATGGGGAATCTGGTTATTTGTGTCTGTTCATTTGTGTGTCCCAGTTCCCCTTCATCTACGAGGCATTTCGTATGCGAGAAGAGCTGACAGGAATTCGGCGGTAGTGTGGAGCTAGTTGGCCGATCGGAACAGGATGACTCCCATCGGACTTCTAGGTTTTGTCACCTGGGGTCCTCTTGGGCCACTTTTGGAGCCACCCCGAGGCATCAGAGGCCCATCGAAAGCGGAGAGAAGAGGATTCAAAAATTATCAGACAACGTCTAGCTGTTTTGAATGGTTTTGGCCTCTCGGGAGGATCCTCGTACTGTGCCGACGCCGCTGTTGGGTCGTCTGCGGGCCCGTTGGAGGTATGTTGGGGGCCGTTTTGAGCCACCTTGGAACATCTTGCAGGCGAGCATAGGGCATCTGGGACCATCTGCAGGGCATCTGGGGCCATCTTGTTGTCATGATTCTTGGCCAAGAAGCCCCCCAAGGATGTCCCAGCGATGCCAACATCCGTCGTACTTACGGTGATCCAGATGTTGTATTCGAGTTCTTTAGGGCATAGGGGGCCATCTTGCAGCGATGATTCTTGGCCAAGCAGCCTCCCAAGGATGTCCCGGCGATACCAACATCCGCCGTACTCACGGTGGCCCAGATTTTGTTATGAGCGTTGGTGGGGTCCTGAATGAGCCCCGCCCCCCGTCGGAGCCCGAAAGATCGTCTTCTGGGGCTTTCTTGAGACACGCGTGGGCGCTCTTTGGGCCGCCTTGGAGCCATTCTGGGTTCCTCTTGGCGTGCTTTTGGGCAAAATCAGAAGCATCCTGAGGCCTCGGAAGCCCACTGGAAGCGAAAAGGCGAAGATGCAACTATCATCGAATCTCAGTGACGTTTGCATGAGTTTGCCCTCTCGGGGGTATCCTTGGGAGGCTCCGTAATCACGTGGAGTTGCTGTGGGGCAGTCTTAGAGCTTGTCAGACGCATGTCATGCTGGAAGCTGGTTTTAGCCATCTTGGATTATGTGGTGCCATCAAGGGGGCCGTCTTGGGGTACGTGGGGCCATCTTGGAGCCATCGTGGGCCATCTTGAACACTTTAATTTTCAGGAGGGGGAACAACACACAGACACAATTAATCGTCGATTCTCCAGAACATATGGGCAACTATAGGAAGTGGGGGGGAAGACACAAACCCAGACAATATGGAACAATTATGGGGAATCCTGTTATGTGTGCATTTATTTGTGTGTCCTTGGGCCCCTTCAAATTAGCCTGCCCCCCCTCCCGTCCAGACCCAGGGGAAGGACTTCCCCTAACAAGGCGGGCGAGTGGTCACAATGCTGGCATATCACGGCCTCCACTGCGGCTCAAGGCGCGCCCAGAGGCGTCCCCAGACGGCCAGGCGAGACAAGACAAACACACGACGCGGCAAGACGTGACAAGACACGCCAAGATTGCACGCAGGTCGGCCCAAGATGGCCCCGATACGCCCCAACAGGGCCACCGAGAGTCCTAAATCTTTCAGAGCGTGTGGGAACCCCATTGATTTGTGTCTTCTCTCAAGCAGTGGCGAAGCGTCCTGGCTCGCCTATAGCCCCCACCAAACAACATTTCTGGCGGAGTCTGTCTTGTTCAATCACATCGGGTTTATGTCCTAAGAACATGGTTGTTGTTCTTAGAACATTTTGGGGTTCTAAGAACATGTCGTGGTAGGACTGTAGGAATGCCGGGACGGTCGGTCCCTGCTCAATTCTCGTCTTTTCGCTTCCCCAGAACCCTTGAGGCCTTACAGTTTTCTCGAGAAGGCCAAAGAAAATCACCAAGATGGGCCAATGAATGAAGGCCCAGGCGGCCCCAGAGGCCCCCAAAAGAAGCCCGGGAGGGCTCCAAGAGGGCCCCTGAACCGCTCCATATTTCGAACGAACAGCAATGTCACGTGCACTTGGAGCCTGGATGGTCCCCAGGATGCGCCCAAGGAGGCCCCCAGGGGAACCCGAGATGCCCCCGAGCGGCCACCACGAGGTTCCCAGTTGTCTTTGCAGGCGGAGGGGGGGGGGGGGGAAGTCTTCCAGGGGGGAGGACGGGCGCGTGTCTTCAAAGGCTGGAGCTTCTTGTAGGTCACCAGCATGGGCGCGAAGAAGATCTTGCTACGCTCGTTGCGGCCTGGGCCGGGGAGGTCCCTTCCTCCGTGGGGGCCGCGCGAGGGCGAGGTTAGATGACTGCGTGCCGCGCTGCGCCCGCCGCACAGCGCGAGGTTGGGCGACCGGGGTCCCTGGATAGCCCCGACGGCCTCCTGAGGTCCCACGCCACACACACGCAGGACGAGAGACTTTCCATTTTGAGGTGAAAACGGCAATGACGAGTTCACATGGTAACATCGGCGCCGCCGAACGGACGGCGTCTGGACGAGCTGCGCGCAGCAACCGGGAGGAGAGATGTATTCATCGCAGCAACCGGGAGGAGAGAGATGTATTCATCTTGAGTGGGGTCCGCGCGCGCGCGGAAAGTTTACGGGAGTGCGCGAGACAGCACAGGACCCATCTTGGGAAGTTGATAACCGAATCCCCCTCCCCCGTAGAATCTTAAAACGGGCGGTTTCCAGAGTCCGCGGAACCGATTTCTCCCAGTCCCCCGTTTTCATTTGATATCCGAATTAATGAAAAACGGGATAGAAATCGGATCCGCAGTCAAACATAGGACCGGACACGGATCCATGAGATCGGATATCCGATCCGCGCGGACGAAAACCGGACCTACCGAAGCAGAAACCAAAACCGCAATTGGAACCGTCGTTCGGGGCCCAAGGGGGACAGCTTTCGCCCAGGGGATGCATGTCGAGCCGGCGCGACCTGTCAGGGTCTCGGGGCCCGACTCTGGGCGAACACGCCGAGCTCGGAACAAAAGAGGGCGCCGGGATCTCGGGGGCCGCACGCCCCGGCCCGATCCGGCCTGCAGCGATCCGCTGCCGCCCGCGGGCGGAGGCACGGCGGCCGCGTCTTCTTCCCCGACTTCTGGCGCGCCTTCGCCTCCGCGGCCCTCGCGGTGGCCGGGCCGCAGGCCTGCCAGGGCGGGGCGGAGCTCGGGGGCAAAGCTGCCAGGCCATGGCGGGCCTATGTTTTCCAGCACCGCTACCATAGGTGGGAGAGGGAGGAGGAGGAGGAGGAGGAGGAGGAGGAGGAGGAGGAGGAGGAGGAGGAGGAGCAGGAGGGAGAGGAGCAGGAGCAGGAGCAGGAGCAGGAGCAGAGGCAGGAGCAGGAGCAGGAGCAGACAGAGGAGCAGGAGGAGGAGAGGAGGGGGAGGAGGAGGAGGGGGAGAGGAGGAGGAGGAGGAGCTCCCCATCCTCCATTATCCCCCCTCCTGCCTGTGGTAGTGGCGGTGGAAAGCTGGCCCATCAGGCCAAGCCTCCTGCAGGGGAAGCGCAGCGGCCCCGATGGCCCATGGATCACCGATGGGGGGCATCGCAGCCCCACCCCGCCCAGGAGCGTGCGGTTTCGTCATCGGGGGCTTATCGCTCCTCCTCCTCCTCCTCCTCCTCCTCCTCCTCCTTTTCCTCCCCTTCCTCCTCCTCCTCCTCCGCCTCCTTCTCCTCCTCCTCTTCCTCCTCCTCCTCCTGTTCCTCCTCCTCAGCCTTGCGCGACAGGGCGCTAGCTTGCCTTTCTGGCACAATTTGGACGGCCAGTCTTTCCATTCTGTGTCATCGGTTCTTCCCGGCGACTCTGACTGATCGTCCTTTTCGCCAGACAGCCAGGTGCCGAGGCCCCTCCTGTGAAGGCATCCCCCGATCCCGCATACCGCGAGCTCCCGTTCTGTCGGGCCGCGGGGGTAGGGTGGGACAACCTGATGGGGGCCTCCGCCTGGTGTTGCTCGGTATGTCTTATGTGGGTGTTAGTAAATGATGCTCGGGTCGGGATCGGACTCCTGCCGAGGGCCTTTGGCCCCTAGCCTTGTGGGACGAGACGTGGCTTAGGTCATGTTTGAAGTCGGCTTGAGGCGACCCGTGCACCTCTGTTGCTAAGTTTGGCCCACACCAGGGGCGAGGTTTGGCATCGTCCTGGCGTTCCTTACACCAGTGGTGGCCTTGCCTCGTCGTCCTGGCGTCGCCATGTGACTGTTCGCGCGTGTGCGTGTCCCTCTCGGTCCTTGGGGCGTCCCTCTGTCTGCGTCGGCCGCCGCCCTTGTCCTTTTGAGTGCCAGACAAGCTGGCCTCTTTCCTGGTGTCACTCTCCAGGGCACGGCGCTGAGTTAAAAAACTCCCCCTCTGAAAGTTAGCACGCAGAATGTGACGATTTCACGATTCGTCATGTTTGCTGGCAGGGGACTGGTGCTTCTGGAGGGCAGCTTATGTTTTCCCATCGGACCGTCCCTCTTTCAGCCAGTGGAGTCCCCCAGCGAAGCCGCTGGTAGGCGCATAGTCAGCGCAGAACAGAGCCGAGTTTAATTGTTTTCTTCGCACCGATGGTGTGAACAGCGTTCAGTTTCTGGCTCGTAGCCTCCGTCCGGCCCAACTGAGGAACGGGTTCGCCTTCCCCACTTGAGCCGAGGTGGGGTACACGGGCCACCGCCCCGTCCGTCACAGACAAAGAACATTGGCTCCCAAGTGGTTGTCTGTCTGTCCTCATCCTCCTCCTGCGCCTCCTCCTCCTCCGCCTCCTCCCCCTCTCCCCCTCAACCCCCCTCTCCTCCTCATCCTCTTCATTTCCCGCTCGTCCCCCTCCTCCTCCTCCTCCTCCTCCTCCTCCTCCTCCTCCTCCTCCTCCTCCTCCTCCTCCTCCTCCTCCTCCTCCTTCAGCGGCGATACGGAGGCCTGATAGCTCACCCCGCCCAGGAGCGCTCGGATTTGCCATGATGGGGCCATCGCCGAGCTGTCGGCCATGCATCGCCGCGTGCGGGACGACGTTCCCTTCCGCCTCAGCCGGTCCCCTCCCCTCTGGTGTTGCCCCTCAGGAGTGGGGCGGGCTGGCCGCGGAGCTGGAGGCCCTGCGCGACGAGCTCTGGTCGCCTTCGCGGCCCCCAGGGGAGGAATCTATTTTTGCGTCGTCGTCGTCGTCGCGTCGGAGGCCCCGGGACAGTTCGGAGGCCACGCCGTCGCGGTTCGCATGCTGCATCTGTCTTCGTCGGTTCCTGGTCTTCGTTCCTGCCTCGGGATGCGCTCCAGGAGCTGCGCCCCGCCGAGAGCCCTGCGGATGTGCCCGGGTCTTCCCGAGCGGTCGCCGGAGACTCGAGCGAGATATGCGCTTCGCGAATCCCCACCAGCGGCCCACCGCTTTAGGTTAATTTGTCTTTGCGCGCCCCGCTCTGACTGGACTCGCCGCTGGCGCGCTCGCCTGCGGCCGCTGACTAAAAGAATCCCCACCAGCCCATCCAGAAACGACGCCCAGAGGAATTGCCTCGATCAGGGAAGCGGGCAGCACACAGAGGAAGGGTTCCCCAGTGGAGGCTTCTTGGAGCGTTTTGGGTGCCTCTTGGCGGTCCTGGACGGTGGGATTTTAAGAGGAGGGCTGGTGTGGCGAATCAGTGAGTCTTGGGCAGTTCCCCAGGGGTGTCTCGGGCGATTTCGGCCTTCATGGGCCCAAGAATCGTCCGTTGGCGGTGCGTGTCGTCAGGTTTTCTTGGGATTTCGAGGTCGCCGCTGTCACCGCACCGACCTTGGACCCCCAATCGTTTCGAGGAGTTCTTAGGCGTCTGCAAGGGTTCTCGTCGCCACGGCCAGACGCAGTGCGAAAAGATTGCCAGGATGGAGCTTGCGAGGGGTCTTGGAGCCCGTTTTCAAAATGGATTTTGCGAGGGGTCTGCGAAGAGAGAGGAGTCCTGAGGGATAGGGCTCCACAGGTTTTTCTGCATGTCTGGTCTGCCGGTCCGAATTTGGTTCATGAGAGCGAGCAATATTTAAAGCCCTGGGATCCAGGATCCGTTTCGTTCAGGACCTTGATTCTTCATGGCGTTTATTGTTTCTCTTGCTGCTTCTGCTTCTCCATGATCCTCCTTTATGTCCAGAGGTCTTTCGTGTTGAGGCCTCCTGGGGCTGCATCCCGCTAATGAGTCGTCCGTTCGCTCGGTTGTTCCCCTTGAGGTTTGACGAGAAGCCCGATTGAATTCGTACGATCTCTCTATGCTGTCTGTGCTGGTCTCCCATTGGTTCGGTCTTGGGTTTCATGACGAGTTCCCATGTCTTTTTTAAAACCTATTCCATTATGGTGCGAATGAGGTCGCCATGCCGACAGCATATCACATGCCAACTTTCCTGACCGCGTTCTCAGGGCCGTCACCACTGGAAGCCAACAGTTATTGCCACAGCAGCACAACCCCCTACCTGAACATGAACCATGCTGTGACTGGCGACACAATACGGGGCACGTGCCCCTCCATGATCCCTTTCCCCACCCTCCCCTTTTAGGCGCCCCGTCATCAGGGGGCGCCGGATGGTCCCCTGCCCTCCCCCCCAAACCCCTCCTTGCACATGGAGCTCGTGCTCGGCGGGCTCCGCGTCCTCGTCTTCTGATCGCGGCGCGCTCGCGACCCGCCATCGCGCTCTCCGCGCTGGTCCGCTGCCCCAGCACCCCCTCCCCCTCGTACTCCTCCGCCTCATCCACCTTGTCCTCCGCCATCCTTTTTCCTGATACAGAATCCCTCCTTGTCGCACCCCGAGACGGGTCGGTAGGGCGGGCTTGTCGTCTAGCCTGAGAATTCCTCTCACGTTATGGTCCTGAAGCTTGAAATTTGCAGCAGTTTCGCGGATGGAGGACCGGTCGTTTTCAAAGTGTGGTTTTCGCCTTAGCGTCGCGCGCATTCGATTCGAAAATTCTAGACGCTTCGCGTATCCCCACCAGTATTGTTGTGCGCGGCTCTAGTTTGCTCCTGTTGTCATTTTGTAGGCCCGCGCCCCGGACTTGCGACTCGCCGTTTGCGCTCTCGCCTGCGGCCGCGACCAAAAAACATTTCCCCACCAGCCATGGTCGCGCCGCCGCGCCATTTTGGCCGCGCCTATTTCATGGTCACCAACGGGTTCTCCACGCCACCGAGTTGGGAGTGTTTTTTCCGGTTATTATTCCTCTGAGTGGCTGCCCGCGCGCTTACTTTGCTTGCCTCTCTTCTTGCTGTGTAGTCGCTGCCCGGCTAGTGTTTGGACGGTTTTCGACTTGCTTCGCGAGCCCGCTGACCAACAAAAAATACCAGCCCATCCAGAAACGATGTAAGCACGGGGCGAGGACGTCGGACGAGTCGCGCAGGGATAGCGCGTAGTAGACTCTATTACAGCGACGGGGCCTGTATTTCGGGGGTGCGAGGTCGCAGCCACGAGTGCAGACTGGCTGCGTTTCTTGCGCGCGGTGTTGCAGCTGTGTAATATGTATTCCGCGGAGTTGGTGTGGAATGTAGTAATGGTCGTTCTCCATGCCGTGGTGGGAAGCCGGGATGAATGGAAAATGCACTTGGACGAGGAATTTGCCGCTGAGCGTGTGCAGGCGTTGCAGGGCTACGGTCTGTCACGGGCGATGGGGCGTCGACACATGGCAGTGGCCGACACGGCGTCCTTCGCGTACATGCTAGATCGGAGTTGTGGCGTGGTGGCGCAGGATTGGGGATGTCCGCGCATGCATTGCGACCATGTGTTCATGCAGGAATTCTCGAATTGGTGCCGGGGGACACTCGCGATTCTGAACATGGGCGGCACGGTGGCGAGGCTTGCGGGGCGAGTTTCAGAATCCTTGATGGCAGTCGAGTTCAAGATGATTCATTACGAGGACATGCCGGAGCATTTAAATGTGGTTTTGGATAGAGCGACACACGGGGTTTCGGCCGTGCTGTGTATGCGGGATCGCGTTTTGAGGCAACTGTCAGAGGCAGGCGGTTGCGCGCGTTGGAACCCGCAATGGATCGATCGGGGCCCAATTGCTGAGGATAGTCTCCCGCCCGAGGCAAGTGGCGTGAGCGAGCAATCCACGGGCGCGGGCTCTGGATCTGGGGCCGAAGCCGAGTTCGAAACCTCTTGCGTGTCGGGTCCTGGATGTGAAAGAAGGAAGCCTGCGCCGAGGGCGTCAGAACGTCTGCGCGTGGTCTCCGATCGCCAAGAACGCCTTGAATCCTTCGCGGCACGGGCGCTGCCATTTGATGCGTCACCGCATCATCGAGTTTTTCAGGAAGAACGTCTCGAGGAGATAGCCAGAGCGCGGCATTCGTGGGTGGTCGTCCCCGATAGGCTGGGAGAGGACCGCATGACCTTGGCGATGTTGCACAGCGGCGCACAGCTCCCGAACAAACGTTGTTTTTGGAAGGGAAGCCCATGGGTTGGGGCATGCAATAGGGAAAGGTGGGAGCATGCTAGGGCGGAACCATGGAGCTCCGTTCTGACTGAGGTAGTGGCGCATTATCACGACGGCCTGCGCGCGTGCCACCGCTTTGAGATTGCGTTGAATCAAGTTGCGAGTGTGGTGGTCCAGGGGGGGTGCCCCCTTATGCGGGGCGTCGCTTGACCGACGGGCGCTGTGGAACTTGCGGGGCGCGCTGGAGCCAGGGGACAGTGTTCAGAGTGCAGTGTGATTCAGTTGCGCGTGTTCGTATCCGATGGTCATCCTTGCGCAATGGCAAGATGAAGATGTTCAGCTGGTGGGTTTCCAGGTAAGAACCATTTCTCGGGGCTGACGAAGTCGCGGGCGAAACAAATCTTCGGCGGGGCGACGCATCTGCAGAGGTGCGGACGTCGGCTGGCAAGTGGGTGCCGGGCGGATTTGCAGAGGGGCCCATGGGAAGAAGAGTTGGAGGCATGGGAAGTGGGCGCCAGGTGGGGGGGGGGTCAGTTCAAGGGGTTCATCGGCTGTCGAGAGAACGTGGTGCGCAGCAAACACGGGGCCAGGCGCGCCGAGGGATTGTGTTCAAATTGCCAGATTCCATTCTGCCACGTGCGTTGCGGCGCTCTTGAGCGGAGCCCGCCAGAACAGCCGCGCACCGCGCTGGCGAGCGACGCGAGGGCGGGCTTCAGCAGAGCCTTCTCATACATGAAGGACGTCACATACTTGGAGCTCCTGAGTGCGTCGCCGCGCTGCTTGGAGCAAATGCGCTTCGCCCCCCAAGATGTGGAAGAGAAGGCTCGAACACAAAAAGAAAGAATAACACATAAACCATAAAACGCATCCAGGGCGCGCTCGAAGAAGCCGATGCCCATGCAGCCGGCGTTTCAGCAGAGTCAGCGAACGGCTGCGAGTGGGGACATCTCGATGTGGCTGGCGCCTCTTGCCGACGTGTTTGAGGAGCTGATGGGTTTGGAAGTTGACGGGGTGGATTTGCCGCGGTCAGCTGAGGACCTGGGCGTGGTCGTGCGCGTCCTACTGCAGTCGTCTGGGCATGTGCCCGCGTCTTCGATCGCGGATGCCACCGTGCGTCGTCATGCGGCGATGAACTTGATCAGAGATTGGGAACAGCGCGTCCACACAGCCTTTGCAGATCTGGACATGCAATGCGTCGAAGAGAAAGCGATGGCGCGCTTTCCAGATGTAAGGGTCATGCCAGAACTTGCGACTCAGCGTGGGCGCGATGACGGACTCGATCGGGCGCTGTCTCAGAAGGCACCGAGCCCTCGCGCAGCAGCCGACAGCGTCGCAGACGCTTTCACGGACGTGCGCCCGAACGCCGTCTTGCACGAGAAGAGTGCGAACGCCGAGCGGGATCTGGGTCTGGCGGAGAGCGGGGCGCGCACCGGCCTGGCTGCCGGGTCGCAGTGGGATTAGCTCGTGGCCTCGACTGGATCGCGCATGGAGGACGCGTTCGTTTTTTTGGTGTTCCATCGGGGGCGCATCCGTTTTGGCGCAAGCCCGCGTTAGCTTATCCGGACTACGGGCGCGCCCTGTCTCCGCGGCGCGCTGCAGGAGGGCCCGCCGTGACTTTGGCTGCGTTCGCGCGGTGAATGATTCGGGAGATCGAGCAGCAATATCGCGCGAGCTAGTCATATAACTACACGCTGTGGAACATGACTTGCCGAGATCAACTGAGCCGTAGTCGCGCAGTGCACTCGTTG